CTGTTATTTTGAGTAATTAATCTGTGTACGGATTTGGTAGATTTAACCAATCTCGCAACCACCATAAAAAATTGGAAATAAATATAGATTATGCCTCTTTTATTCTAGAATAAACACAAATTATAACATGAAAACATAAATGTTTAGACTAAATAACTTAAATTTCATAACATTATACATTTATATATATTTATTATATTGACCTTTCAGCCATGCCTGGCTAACAACACAGAAATTACAATGATGCAGTTCATGTGCACCTGTGTTACCATATCCAATAACATAAAACTGACCTTTGGTCTGTACAAAGTAACTTGTCTTGGCTGTGTTTTAGTAGACTAAATCAAATCAACTTAGATAACCAGAGTAGGCAACAGCAAAAGACTGATGACTCAAATCCTTATCTATTAAATATTACTATTATGTTTAACTTCTTCAAATATCCTACTATGAGTTGAGAGAAGTTTGCTTGTTTATCCTCTAATTCCCCCTAGGTTTTTGCATTTGGACACGTCAAATATGGTTTAATCAACTAGGAATGATTCAGGATATTCCAAAAAGGTATTTTTCTTTTAAAATGCATAGGTTTCATATCCCAGTGCTGGCTAAATATAAATCAGTAAGACAGGGGTACTGATGGGACTTCTCCAGTTTCCTCTTTCACTGTGAGGGGTATACATACAGTATATCTACTTTCAATCATTACTGGCATATTTAGAATAAAAAAGAAACTATTTATATTCATAACTGGTAAAACACCAATTTCACAATTGCATTTCATTTTGAAGTTAATCAATAATTTGAGGGAATTCTTTTCCACACATTGTTGGCACAAACTTTCAAGATACCCACTTATATTAAGCGAGATGTGCTTAAATAACATTACTTATTGCTTTCTGATAAAAAAACTAAAACAGAAAATAAAAATGTTATTTAAATAACCAACCTCAGTGGGCATGAATAATTTTATTCTTATGTATTTTTAATCTTTATATTGCCACTGGCATATTTCCGAAAAATATAACTTTTATAAACCTCTCACTGTGCATCAAACAGTTACATCTACCAGTAAATTCAATAACTAGTTACTTATACCTAAATGCAATAGTAATATGTTTTAGATAAAAAATGAAAATCATTAAGAAAGATCTTAAAACGTGTTTTCATTATTTGAGTTATCTTTGCTCAATGGGGGGTTGCTGCATATTTTAAAAAGAAACAAAACAATGATATTGTGATCATCTCTAGTCAACTTCAGGGATTTACCAAGGAGGAAATGTCCAAATGATCTTTAAAAGAAACATTTGCCAAAAATGTTTTTTCACAAGATTTACAAATGGCAACTGGTAGAAGTCTATCATAGTAAGTGAAAGGTAAATCTAAAATTATTTAACCCTTTCGTGATGGGCTCAATATAAAATGCACGAGTTCATATTCACATTTGCACACATTAAGTATATATACTATATCTTTTAATGCAGTATGTGCATCTTCCCAAAATTTGGTAGACTTTTAGTAAACACTACAAGTCTTTTGCATCCAAAAAACCAGATTTTTTAATTAAGTATTTTTACTAAAGATTTGTTTAGTGAATATACCAAGTCTGTTTCATTACTAGTCCGAGAGGGAAGTGATTTTCATGTTATGATTGAAAAAACTATTCTTCATCCCAAAAATCATTTGTGTAATCTCCAAAACCTCCAAAATACATTTCAAATGTTTGTTTTCAGTAAAACTTTATATTTTATCTGTTATTTTCTCTACCCTAACTCTATAAGGGGGCCACCAATTTGACCAACCTTGTAACTATGATAAAAACCTAGGAAAGAAATATAAATTATGCTTTTTTTGTTCTAGAATGACTCCAAATTATAACATGAAAATATAAATGTTTAATAAAAAAAGCTTAAATATCATAACATTATACATTTATATATATATATTTGTTATTTTTATTATATTGACCTTTCAGCCATGCCTGGCTAACATTACAGAAGTTGCAATGATGTGGTGCACGTGCACTCATGTTACCAGATCCAAGAATATAAAACTGGCCTCTACAAAGTGACCTGTTTTGGTTGTGTTTTAGTGGACTGGTATTTTGTAAAATACAGTCACATTTCAGTTATAATACATTATATGTGTATATGCATTATTACTATTTACAAATAAGTTCTTAAACTTATTTTTCT